TAATTACCAGGGTGCACCCTGAAGGCAATACGTTCATGCACGCGGGGTCACCGTTACAAACGCACACAGCATTATGGATTGCGGCCGCGCGACCGGCTGACTTCGCTTGTCACCCGGCGCCCCAGCTGACCAGCCTGGTGTAAACAAAATGGCGACATGGGAAAAATTTCGAATGAAATGTGTGTGGTGTGTGCCATCCCTGCTGGGAAAATTCGGTGTGTGCATCTGTCAGAGAGCAGAGGGCAGAGGGCGAGTAAAAAAATGCCCAGAGGTTACTGGTGATGTACAGCAAAATCCAAAGTTTTTATGGCATTTTGCCATACGTTTATTGCGAGAGGCGTTTAAAGACGCTGTCTGGGCATGTGACGACAGTTGAAAATCAGTGTCGTGCAAACATGACGGCAGAAAGGTATCCATGTGGTCTTAAATGTAACATGTATTAATTATAAACATTAGTCAAGGTTTATAAATGTTGGTATTAAAAATGAGGTTTTTTGAAATACCTGGTGGATTTTTCTTTATTCAGACGACACAGCGCCAGCTTCGATAACAGTACCCGTTCAATTGGAAGTCGGAGCTCACCTGCCATAATTTTTTTTAGGCAAGAATGTTTATAAAAGGAAGTGATGACCTTGCGGTCACAGGTCGTACAAGATTTGACCAATGAGAGCGCAGAAGGGACTAACCCAGTGTCCTGTATGTGGGCGCTGGGCAACTTGAACGAGCGAAGTCCTTAGATGTGCCCCCTCATGGCGTATTTCCTTCACTAAAATCTGTGCACGGCCATCAGCCTTTCCCAGCTGGCACTGGGCGACGAGCGAAGAGCGAAGAACGTGCGCGTGGAGAGCAAATCCAAATCAATTAGTCGACTTGGCACAAGTCTACATCACTTTAACGTGACTGTCTTATTCATGTGTTATGTGGCTTAAGCGACTCGACTGAAGACCATTGCAAACGGGCGTGCGTTTTAATTCTCGACCTTTGATCTGGGCATTCACAATCACAGCTATCGATCCATCGATCACATGAAATTAGCAAGGGCCAAGACCAAGGGTGTCTTTTCAGTAGTTTCGAGCTGTTTGAAATGCTCAGACTCCAAACCGAGGAAAGGTAAGATTTCACTTCTACGCTGACAGTTGATAGGTGTACTTAATGTACACATTTTACCGTCTCTCTTTCTGTTGCTGTAGCTGGTATGCAGCAAGATCTTTGTTAAAATTTAAATCAAAAATACACTGTGGTTTCTTTAAAACAATTTCTCTAATCCCACAATATTTGGAAATTTACTGTACATTCTCTTTTAATAGTTTTATCTTGCAAGTCTGCAAACGAATACATCATCGCCAGGAGGTTGTACTACCTAATTGACATAAGCTCATTCCCAGGGCATTTGGATAGTTGTGCCTCTAATACACATTGGGTACAAGGATGCATTGTAAACATGTTTTCTCAGCCATACAGTCAGTAGTGTCCGATCTGTAAATTTCACCGCGAAAAAGCTTTATCGATACCCAAGTTGTAATTTTAGAGTTTGATTATAATGTGATTCTCCGATCATTCCTCTGATTTATAGACCTTAAGAGAGCCCTGTATGGTGAGCTTAGTTTTATTTTAACCCTAAAAAGAAATGATGAAAAAACTGGAAAAGTTCATGAGATTAAGAGTTTAATGAAAGCTTGATTAACGTTAATTATAGTATACAGATGCACACAATATATCATGCTCATATATAGATGTACATGTACTTACCCAGGCTTAGGCCATATTTTCTCATGGTTACACTTGGGTTATAATGTAATTAGTGTATTTTCATTTATTTTGATAAATTTTCAGATTGTTATCTAACGCCTGGGACTTTGCGTTTATTGCGTAACACCTATCGTCTTAGGCCTATACATAAGTAATTCGTGAAGTTGTGTAAATGACTGAGTAGTCCGCCGAGCCCCTTTGATAGTACTCGTGCACAGTTGTTCTTAACATAGGCTTAGTTTGTGTAACCTGTGACAGGCGTTTGAATAATAATCACTGGGCACAAATGCCTTGAAGACTTGTGAATTTGTTATAAGTAGACTGAAACTCCTCTTTTATATTGATTTGCTGTATTAACTTAGTGATCCGTGGATTCGTATTAAGCTCCCATGCTCCACACACACACCCCCTACCATCCTGTTGTTGAGAATAGTTTGTCCCTAGCAGCCAAACGCTTATCTCGAGGTCACTATACACACATACCGTGCTGGGCTCTCGGTCAGTGCAGACGGGATTTTGGCAGTGTTCGTAGATTTACAATTGGCTGGGGGCTCTTTGAGTTAGTCACACTTTCATAAGGGCTGGGTGAATTTAATTTGGACCCGACGGACAAAATTGGGGCCTATCCAATCATGGAATCCTGCAGAATTAAAAGTCTCCATTGCTGAGCCATTCATGACTTGGAATTTCTCTGCATATACGAGATGAGACTGCATACAACGGACTTCGGCGAAGTGTGGCGCATGTTGGACGGCAAGCGAGTTGATTTTTTTGCATGGTCTAGAAGACATGCTCAACTCTCTCTCAGTTTTTCAAGACCACATCCAATGGAGGGTCGGATTTTCCAATCTTACGTTTTCTGCCAAAGATAATCCATCCCCCCCCCAAAAAAATGTGAAAAAAAAGTACTCACGAAGCCCCCTCAACAACTCGAAAGATGCGGAATTGGGCACACGGTTGCTCAAAATACAGGCTCCCAGTCCTCTAACCGCCGCGCTTTTGTGACCTCGAAACGTGTGCCTGATGATGCACGGGATGAACCTCTGAACGTGTTGAAACTGATAAACGATATCAAACAATGGACCATAATCGTAGAGCGTCTGAGTGATAACCGCCGACGGATAATTGAATTAAACAAAAAGGTTGAACTGGTAACGTATTATTTATCAACAGACGACGTAACAACAGATAAAAATCGATCTATAATAGGTCATGACGAGGATGAGAATGTTACAGATTGATTAAAGTCGGTTTAGTGCCTTCATTTGAATGATCAGAAGCAACGATGTTGCAGCTCAACTTGGAAAATGCTTAACTAGAAATTAACAAAGATTCTAGAGTTGATATATATGTTCATCACAAGTTTGTTTAAAGTTAACCCGATATGATCCAAATAAAATAAGTTTGTTATTTTCTTGGCGAATTGGAATATTACGGAAATGAAGAAAGACAACGAAGTTCAAAGTCTCCACGCGTGGAGTTGGTACGCTAGTGAAAAGTGATGGGGCCTGGGCCCACGGACGTATATTAAAAACCTGGACTTGCAACGCCTTTGTATGAAATAGAAGCCAACCAGCGGCCATTTTACCGAACCGAATACAAATGTGCGGGTTGGCTCGCTTCTATTGACGCCAGGGAGACCAAAGGCGGGCATTGCCCGGCAAGCTTTGTATTCGGCTCGGTAAAATGGCCGCCAGTGGATTCAGTGATCTCTATAAGCTGATTAAGCGCATTGCCAGTTCAGATTTTTTTGTATACTTCCGTGCCTGGACCTGGAAACAAATGGTACAGTCCTGCAGGCACCCCTTCCCGGAATTTGGACAAGTCCAGCCAACCACCACCTTGTTACGTATATATGCTTTTGTTGTACTCCGGCCCCTGGTGACCTCGAGACTTCTGTGTATAGGAATGTTAAATTTAAATGGTCCTTTTGTGTATGCTCTGGGCGGTCCTGTGATTCAGCCTAGTTTAACAGCACCAGTGCCTGGAAATTCAAGCTCAGTCAGTGGTTGAATGTGGGGAGAGAACATCTATTGTGGAGGCGTGCTCCATACCTCTGACGATTTAAGGAGGACGTGAAACATTATTCAAGTGTGCTATTGTTCATTTGCCACCGCAAAAGTAAGTGATTGCCTTTAGTCTTTTACTCATGGTTAGCCTCTGTTTTGGGTACTTTTTCAGTCAGTGGGCCCTGTCCTTCCATTTTTCTGGCTGATTTGCCCTAGTCTCAGCATGGAGGTAGGTACATGTACGTCCATGGTCTCAGCAACTATAAAAATTTAATTATTTTTAGAGTAATTTCTTAGGCATGTAAACCGTCATCTGTGGTTGAAGTTATTTGCCTGGCTCCGCTGTGCTATAGTATTCATATTACGGAGATATAGTTATCACGTTAAAAATGCAAATCGTTCTCACATTTTGGTTCCACCATGTTACATATTGGTGCCGCACGTTTCGGATAAAACTTAGAGGATGTCTGGGCTTCACGAAGCATGGAATAGCAACCGTTGGTCAGTACGTTGGTCAACTATACTGACCATTTCGTGAACAAACATACCTTGCCTACAAGTATTGCATACGTGCATTTACTTCAGTCCACATTTTTATAAAACTGAAAAAATCCTGCCCCAGGTCACAGCATTTGAGAAACGGCCCTCTTTTGGGATTTTTTCACGGAAACAGCTGCTATACCAACTACCAACCATTGGCTAACCTTTGACCTTAGTTTTGTGAAGTGACAGTCAAGCGCTCTCAAGAGGGCTGGCAAACGGACACTTTTATCTAAAATGGGGAAACAGTCATTTTGTCCAATTTTCAGAAGCCGAACACATATGCTGACCACTGTAAGTGCACGCCCTTTGTCCCTAGGTGGTCTGCAGACCGTGTTCATCGGAAACTTGCAAGAGGCCCATCATTGACCAATATTGCTGAAATCGATGCGGGCAGGGGATGAAAACACAAAGCCATTCTATCCGTTTTCCAGAAAACGACCTTTAGTACTGGCCAATCCGTGACTGTTGGTCAAAATCTGCAAGAAGTCCACATGCAACTTGCAAGAGGCCGATAAGCGACAAAGTTTGACTGAAATCCATGGAAAACGTGAGGGGAAAAGTGCCACTTTGTCCATTTTCCAGAAAGTGACCGTGACAATTGACTGAAATGTAAAGCACGCCTTGAATTAATGCAAAGCGATACAGATGGCCTCGGCCCCAATCTTAAAACGGCCCCAATCTTAAAACAGTGCACTCGAAACCTGAAATAGCCCATTAACGACCAACTTGGTGAGGACAATTGGCATTTACTTGTTTTGCGGAAAAAAACACGTAATTCTGATCACTGAGTGACCTTCGACCCAATCTGCTATGACCACATATAAATATAAGACATGGCAGTAAAGCATTTGACAATTAAGTAGACCTATAGCTAAAATTGGCGGGAGAAAGTGGCAGAGGTATAGCCTCTTTTTTATATGAATTGGTAGGCCTATAGTGACAACAAGTTAGCCTTTGGCCAAATAGTGCAGGCACCATTGTGAGGCTCAGTGGGAAAGCAACTGTCCCAGTGTGGCCTCAACTCAGATGAAGACCGGAATAGAAGCATTTTGTAATCATCAATAAAATTGAACTGATGACCATTACGTAGCCTTCGACCCCGGTCAGATGGCATCACAATATGATTAAGCTTCAAGTGGGTCATCAGTTGGCCATAAGGTGTTGGCCAAGTTAGGCACCTCAAACGACTAGGGGCGCAAGCGGGCGTTATTTGAAAAGAGTGGCCGAGGCCAGTGGGTACAATGGTTTGGACTTAAGAGATTCGGGAGTTACCCTGAGACATGACAACTTGGGCCTGTTTGTTTGACAGGGATCTTATCTCTCGATCAGTGATGCCAACGCTTGTTCGTGCCATCCATTAGGCAGGTTGTGGTGTTAATGAGCCACAGATTACTGATCGAGCTCCAGATCTCTATGAAGTATAAATAGACCCTCAGGAACATGTTCTTGATGATGCTGTTTCAAATCGGACAGTTAAACTATCACTATCGAATATTACGTGTGTAGTAAAAAGATAGTACCTGTTAGTAACAGTTTAAAAATGTTTTGCCAACCATGCTTGAATAATATAGGCCTATACCCAAAGGCACTCATTTGAGAATGAGGTTTTTCGGCTGTATCAGTTGCATTCTGGGATGTGACCGTTAAGAGAATCCATATTACCATTAACATCCACGTGAACCAGAAGAAAAATCCTGGCAAAGCGAACAGACTTTTTTGTTTAATTTAGTTAATTATCCCCTACTGACTTCAAGGTGTTTGCCCTTGCGTTTCATGTGTGGAATCGTCAAAAACAAAACAGATCGATTGCTACATTGACTTGGCATTTTCTCGGGAAAAAACAACTTATGAGATCTTCAATGAGGCATCAAGTGAATAAAAAGTTGGCCCAAGATAAATAATCCATTCATTAATTTCAATGAGTACACGTCATACCGGAGCAATCCGCCTAGAGCAGAAGCACCCCCTCAGGTGTACCCAGAAAAGTACAGGTTTGAGTTTGATTGAACCCGTATGCATGTCTTCGTCCAGAAGTTCAGTGCCAAGTACCCATCCCTTCCCACCGGTTGACTTTGAACCACGCGAGACAAAGAGGGCATGCAAAAGGACCCAAACAATTCGTCATCTGACACAAAGAATTTTTATGTACTTTTTCCCCAAACTGATCTGGTCAGTTTTCGAAGCGTTGTGGTTGATACGTTATCTGAGGTGATACTTTACTAGTGAGATGGGTTTGTATACTTTATACGCTATCCGTCGATAGGTGATATTGCCTACTGTGCGTTATCGGTTCTAAATTCCACTGAGCTATTGGTCAATTTTTGATACATTATCAGGTGGTTGGCATTAATTCCGAAAGGCATTCTGGAAGGCATGGTGTCCACCGCATGACAGCAAATATAGCTTTATCAAGAGCATGTAGGCTTTACCTACATGTAGGGCCTACAGCAAATTTGGTCAGATGTACTGAGCTAGCATTGTTTTACACTACCACAGACCACAATCGAGAGATGTCAAGGTGCAAAAGATCTATCCTTTTTATACTGTACACAGTGCAGGCTGTCCGACACGTATGAGGCTATGCACTGAGTCAGATGACAGCAAAATACAGTGTCGCACTTGATAGAAACTCCACGGATGTGCTCATAGAGAGTTAATTTTACATGCATGACAAATTTTGGGAAGATCAGGAGTGGGACAGTTCAGTTTAGGGGAAGGTACACTCTAAAAACTTCCGGGTCAGATTGACCCAGAATTGGGTCCCATTTGGTATAACCCTTTTCCGGGTCAAATTATGACCCAGAAAGTTTCAAATATGACCCGAAAGGGGGTCATATTTTAACCCAGAAAAGGGTCATACCGAATGCATTCGGTATGACCCTTTTCTGGGTCAATCTGACCCGGAAGTTTTTAGAGTGTATAAGGGCGATTCACAATGGCGTGCACCACCAAGTTGCCACGGAGTGCAACTTCTTATTACATGACTGTGAGATGGCTCTTCAGCATCCATTGAAAGACCTATATCACGTCCCCACTAACATGACACGTGCGTGCACGTTAGGACAAGGGCACATCCTCTTTTAGTTTCTTTCGGCAGGTACATAACGCCAACCAGATCCCACACATTGCCACTCAGATATACTGGCCTTAAAACAATTCCCGATGTGGAACACATTATTGTTGAAAAGGTGCAAACAACCGCGATGTCATACACGATTTTTCCAAATTGTGAGGAAAAATGAGATGTCCTGCTCAAGAGCTTAAGCGTCATAATTGTCTTTCGTAGCGACCGGATAGTTTGATGTGCCACTGAATCACCAGGCTTCTATTCTTCCTCACAATTCATTCTTTGTAATTGCAGGTCTTTATTTAGAAGACAATCTTAAGTCTCAACATGGAACCGAGGAAAAAGTGCAAAGGTAAGTCAGGCCTATACGCCAGTTAAACATCATGCCTCTGCCTTGTCGAACTCAAATAATGAGAAATTTTCAATTAAGCAAGAGAGAATCTCGACGTTTTGGCGCAAACACGGTGTGTCAAGAATGAATAAAGGCTGTGCTACTCGGCAGTTGCACGGTGCAACGTGTACACGCTGTGCTATCATTCAATTTTTGCTTCGGCATCAACGTCTTTGCTACATGCCAAGTGCATTGAGTTCGACATTGAGGAACTTAACCTTTCACTCAGGCCTGGATCTGCTGTCGGTTGAGTCATTAAAAACGACCCCAAAACTGTAATTTTAGGTCTAATGGAACGTCTTCGTGATGGTGAGACGGTCATTTGCGCGGAGGGATATCTCTTCGTGTTTGAGCGACGCGGTTACTTGACAGCTGGGTCGTATGTACCCGAAGTCGTTCTGGAACATCCTGAGTTAGTCCGACAACAATACGAGGAATTTGTCCACGCCGGAAGTGACGTTGTACTGGCATTTACTGTAAGTACTTCCATGTAAGAGGAACCTGTGTAATTCAACAATGATTACTGAAAATAAAGAAATAAATACTGAATACGTAACTGACCTTAACAAATTATGACAAAATGAAAAATGACACGAATAATACAATTATCTATTCCCGGATTTCAGGCAAAACATTGTCAATGAAAATTTTTTTTAACTCTTTGTTGACGAGTTCTTTGTCACCACGGATATTTTTGTAGTATTACGCACACCGTGAAAAGATGGCGCTGATTGGTCGAGAGGACGATCTAGAACGAATCAACAAGCGTGCGCTGCGCATAGCACGTGAAGTAGCTGATGCAACTGGTACCCTGATGGCCGGTAACATCAGCAACACCAACATCTTTGTGGACACCGTACCCAATTATCAAGAGAAAGTCTGGCAAATCTTTAAAGTATGTAAAGTTTGTTTTTGAAATGACAACCTTTCAGGCACCATTAATTTATAGGATTTTTGAGCTTACTTGTCAGATGTTCCATATAGGCTAGTTGAGGGCGGTACGTGACATTGTATTCTGAATCTCACGCTTTATTCTCAAAGTATCAAGTAGGATCAATTACTGTCATTAATTTCAAACAGTAGTACTCCTAAACTTACAAGTACAAAGAGTTTGGCTAAAAATGAAAATTCGCAGCACTCGCATCAACAACAATTAGAAGTCAATTTAGAAGTTTGAATTATTATACTTAGCGTTGATCTTTAACTTTGAAAGAGGTGTGATAGTTTCCTGGGCTTTCTTAGCATTATGAAGATGAGAGAATAAGACCCAAGTTGACAATATGCCTGCATATACTCTGTGCATGGTTTTTAAGCAAAACTGGTTTGTCACACACAGGAGCAGATAGAGTGGGCTGTGGATGCTGGGGCTGATTTCATAGTAGGAGAAACTTATGACAAGTTTGGCGAAGCGTTACTGGCTGTGCAGGCATGCAAAGAATTTGCAAAAGGTTGGTTTTTCTCAGCGGAGTATTCAGCTTTGGGGGGGTCTAATTCAAAAGCGATTGCGGCTGCAGACTCATTCAATATGAATATATTTTCAAAATATCAAAAGCCTTGCAGTCCCGACATCCTATTTCATAGTGTTGTTTTCTTAGGGTTTTGGTGCAAATGTTTGATGAATAAATGTACCGATTACTTGCTTAACTATGCAGCATTCTTTGTAAAATGAACTCCGTCAGCAGGGAAAGTTGTACCCCCCAAGCTGGATACGCCACTGTTTTTCCTGTTTCTTTTATTAGTGGTTATTTCTTTTTGTATATCTTTCTCTTTGATTTGGTTGATGTCGGAAATGGTTTGGAGAAGGGAACGATATTCTTTTAGACGCAGCCACAATCCATTGTAAGAATGCTCTGGTAACACGATGCCATGCAGCAGAAGTACGGAATTGGGGGAAATGAATGGTCATTGCAATTGTTATACTCTTTCTTATGGATTTCACTCTTGATCGTTAAACACATCATGTTTGCACCCCTTTCTGATGAATGGAAAGTGATACCAGACCATCTTTGCGAAACCTTTTCCCTGAATACAGTTTCGTTTCATTTGGACGTTGAACGTGTATACATACGCAGATATTCCATGCGTGGTGACCCTTGCTGCCCAACAGGGTCAGGTGGGCGGGAAGCCAGCCACTCTGGACGGCGTGGAGTACAGTGAGGCATTGAGCCGACTAGTGGACGCCGGGGCTGACGTGGTGGGGCTGAACTGCGCACGGGGACCAGCCACCATGCTGCCCATTCTGGAGGAAGCTGTCAAAGTTTGCAAGGTGAAGCCTCGAGTTTGAGTTCTATTCTTTTGTTCAAAAATAGTTGTTGAAAGAGATGTGCCATGGCACACAAGCCTAATCCTTTGCTGAACGGGAGAATGAAAAGCAGGCTTTGAAAATGTGCGTTTTGTTTTGTCGTGAATGATCCCCAGGCGCCTCTTGCTGCTGTGCCTGTGATGTTTCGTACGACCAAAGAGGAGCCAAACTTTATGTCGTCCAAGGATCCACTGACAGGTAAAATAAGTGCCCTAAATAGATGAATACATGACAATAAGTAGACTACCCTTGACAAGAGAGACGGATTAAACGTCCTTTAAACAGGAAAATGATAGTCCCCGACAAATTCGTGTGTATCAACAACTTACATTATGGAAAGTTCATATTTTTGTGTCTTTATTTAACAACAAAACAGGCACATGTTCTAATATAATACATGGTGTTTGCTTGCCGAAGGTGAACTATTGTTCCCCGTGAATCTGGACTGTATCCAGTGCAATCGTAAGGACATGCACGACTTTGGTAAGCGAGTCCAGGAAGTGGGCATCAAGTACGTGGGTCTGTGTTGCGGCAACTCGGCTCACCTCACCCGAAGCCTGGCCGAGAGTCTGGGCCGCAAGCCGCCTGCCTCCCGCTACACGCCAGATCTCAACAAGCACTGGCTCTTGGGAAAAGACGATAAACTACCCTTACTGGGCCAAGACTCAAAGAAAAAATATGCCCAAACCTTAAGTAAAGTTAATTAAACATCAAGTCAATACTTTCAGTTTTATCTACAAACGTTGGGACGCATATGCACAAAAAGTAAAAAAAAAATGATCCAAAATGATTATGATAACTCTGAGGAAACTACAGAAATGTTTGCTCCTTACAAAACATGACATAATTATTTTATTTCATATTAAAGTATAAGAGAAGGAAACTTTACCGAAGTGTAATGCCATCCTTTCTGCCTAAACCTTGATGCCAACATGAAATAAACACGACAAAATGTTGACCCTCTCATTGAGATATTTCGTAAATTCAACGGCTGTTTGTTGCCAAGACCCATACAGTTAGTATCTCAAGTATTACATTTACAGCATTAATTAATGTGATTCACAAATTTCAAAAAAACAATTGAAAAAAGTTTAAAAGTAAGAGATTTGTCGGAGATGTGGATGGATTTTCTTGACTATTATGCTGCTATACTTTTTATCTTTTCAACATAGAGAAGTCAAAACATGCTGCAAGCGAGATCAAAACAGCAGAGAGAGAAAGGGACAGAAAGCCGTTGAGCAAATTTTAGTTTTCCTATACGAATTTAAATGCCTTATAATTTAAAAATGTCGTGAAAGAAATTTATCGTTTCATTAGAAGGCCCGGCCTCTATGTAACCTTGGTACCTACCCTCAATTAGGTCCCATTCCTCATGAACTTTTTCCGGGTCAAATTATGAACCAGAAAAGGTGAAATATGATCCGAAAAGGGGTCATATTTTGGGTCATAATTCTGGGTCAATCTGACGCTGGAGTTTTTTAGAGTGAATGCCTTTCCAACTTTATTGATATACACTAAAACCGACTCCACCACAACCCAATACACTTCTACAGGAAACCGTTGGGAGTCATGGGCAAACTGGAAGCGTAAAGCATCCCAGCTTTCATGGCAGAACCTTTATTTTTCACTCTCTAGCTCGCTCACCTGGTAACATCTTCAGGGACTAAATCAGGAATTCGACTCGATGACAGCGGCTGCCAAATGAGCAAAAACGCGGCAGGTCTTGTATCATCAGGACCCTCCGTCCAAAACGCATTTCAAAGGCTATAACCGCGCCATAAATGATCACTTCGGACATTCTAGAAAAATTCATTTGCTAAGATTCAGGCAAAAATTCAGACCAGGTTCTTGCATCACAGTTGCCAGAGCACACAAACCCGGCTGCTCCGTATCTACCACTGAAGTTACCTCAAAGCATAGAAGATCCCATAGATTAAGAATTACACCTGATTATTCGGGCGCTTAACCCTTTCAGCCCCAGAAGTGCCAGCTTGGCTGAAAGTGGCATGCAGGTTCTTTACCAACGAGCCATGCACACGATTTCAGTGTCACTTCGTTACCAACGTTCCTCATTGGCACATAGATTAAAATGCCAACAACGGAAATGTAAATAGCGCCCTCACCCCTTTGACGTTGTCTCGAGCGCTCTGATTGGACGAGATGGCTTGGAGACGCGCAATTGGCGCGTCCTTACAAAACCACAAGAGGCGAAATGGTAGCGGCCTCGGACATCATCGACGAAATTTTCGCAGATAGTGGCTCCGAAATATCCTTCGATGAAACTTCCTCCTCGTCCTCATCAGAAGAAAGTGATGA